ATTGTAACGTGTACCTACCATTGTAAGATTAAATCCAAAACAAAGGGTTTTTCTGTCACATCTATTTATAAAATAATGAAAACTTGGTTTATGTTTTGTTATTTAAGTATTTGGACAACATAGATCCAGTCGCCACACAACTTTAAATAGTTTTAGCGACCTTTCCAACCAAAAGGTAAGGTGTGAATACAACTTTAAATAGTTTTAGCGACCTTTCCAACCAAAAGGTAAGGCGTGAATACAACTTTAAATAGTTTTAGCGACCTTTCCAACCAAAAGGTATGGCGTGAATACAACTTTAAATAGTTTTAGCGACCTTTCCAACCAAAAGGTATGGCGTGAATACAACTTTAAATAGTTTTAGCGACCTTTCCAACCAAAAGGTATGGCGTGAATACAACTTTAAATAGTTTTAGCGACCTTTCCAACCAAAAGGTATGGCGTGAATACAACTTTAAATAGTTTTAGCGACCTTTCCAACCAAAAGGTATGGCGTGAATACAACTTTAAATAGTTTTAGCGACCTTTCCAACCAAAAGGTATGGCGTGAATACGGTTTACATGTCTGGGGCTTGAACTGCCGTATGTGGTGTGCTGTTTGGTATACAGATTACCCCACGACCATATAAACATTTTTGGTGCCCATTGATTGGACCCCATGCTAAGAGATTAGACATACTACTTGGATAATAGCAATACTAGAGGAGCCCTACGGCACTCTATGCGGTCTAATGGACCGAGACAACTCGCCTCCGCTATAAATAATAGTACGCCTACATTCATTATAAAGAGCGCCTAAACTATCAATATGAACTAATAAACTCAATTAATTAAAACCTGTGGTCGCATTAGGCGTCCCTACGGTAACGGAACATGTGCTTCCAAAATGCGAACTCCAACGCCCCTGTCACCATAGCGGTCAAATGAAATTTTTCATAACCATAGTAAAGGGAGATAATATTAATTCAAGGTGTTAATACAGCATATATTTGGGCGTCTGTGGGTTAATGAGGGCGACAACTCGAGCTTTTAATCCACCAAATGTGATTTAATTTGTATTGAAGAAAACGATAACACAAACCAACTTTACCCGATTTTTTGCATATCTCACACAGAATTACGGTTTAATGCCGGTCATATTAAATTATTTGACAAAATGCGTTCTGTATATTACTTTAGATTATTTTAAATTTTAGAAACCATATTGAACTAATTGTTTTTTCTTTGATCAATAAGATGTGTAACGTTTTCATCCCAAATGTCCCATATTTAACAAATAAGTCAAATACTTAGCTGAGGTCAGTGATCGAACTAGGAATATAAACTAAAAAATCAATTTACTGCTACATTACATAAAGGTAATAGTTTGTCAAATGATAAATAATCAAAGCATCTGACAAGAACACAAGGCCGAAATCTATGTCAACCTGCCATATGGCAATAATTCAAAATAACTTAACAGCGTTGGCTAAAATCACCTTTGACGTTGATAAATAATAAGCCATATATGCGTTCTTTTATGAGCTATTATAGGACGCTGATTGATGCCTTAATATACAATAACTTGTTTGTTATGTACTTATTACTGAATAATATTATTTACGTTGAACTCAACGGTAGGGATTTTCAGAGTGATATTCTTATAAAAAATTGTATATTGTATACCTTGTGTATCCTTTATTATCTTACTAGTAATATTTTTCTTTATTTTCTAGTTTCTCTGTTTCTGTTTGAGCATACTTAAATATATTAAAACAGCACAGTTTGCCAATTCATTGTTCTACAAGATTAACAGACTGTTGTAAATACCTCCAACATGTTTTTTTTTTTGTTTTATAACAACATCATCACTATGAAAAGTACACAGATTTAAAAAGCAAAAATTAACACTATTAATGAGAACAGCATGAAGTAATCCAAATTGTTTCTGATATAAATTTGATAATAACAATATTTTTTTTTAGAATGTCAGTTTGTAATGTATTACAATAGCTAGGAAAAAAAAACTGGGAGTGATCTCCCCTAAACTTTCTCGAATATTCTTATATAAAATAACAGGGGATGGGAACTCGGTTATAGACATGATTTTTAATCCATTTTAAATAAAGTCTTAAAAATAGAATAAAATCTCGTAGACAAATTAATTGCACACCAAGTGAACGCCAAATAAAAAAGTGCATAATAGTGCGCAATATTATTAGTACTTTAAAAATTTACATTTGCTTTTTGAGAAATCGGAAGTAGCGTAAATTACTACTTCCGGTCAACGGAAATTACTCAAAATTTAACAGAAGGTAGAGAATTAGATCTTTTATTTACATATGAAATTTCATGTATCTATCTGAAATAGTACTCAAGTTATAGGCTTTTGAAAAATTCAAAGTAGGAATTGTACCACTTCCGGTTATCGGAAATCGCTCAAAAGTTGATACGGATCTACGATTATGATAAAATACTTATATATGAAATTTCATCAACCTAGCAGTAACGGTACTCAAGTTATCGTGTTTACACACGGACAGACAGACAGATAGACAAACAGACACACAGACATACGGACAAGATTGCAAAATTATGTTTTTCCGTATCAGTGAGGTGTAAAACGTCGAGATTTGTAAAAATCTCGATTTTTGTTTTTGCACGATTACAAGACTTTCTCTATACTTCGTATATACGAGAAAGTAAAAACATTGAGAAACAACGTAATTTCATACCTCAAAATTACGCACTTATCTGTATTTTGCACATAAAACATAACACCTAATTTGAACACCGTCAAAGATTTAAATAAAAAAGTAAAATGTTTTTAAAGTTTAAAAGAAACGAAATTGCTTGGTGTAATTGACTGTTTCAATTTTTATAAATGACAACAAGAATAGCTTGTGTAAGTAGAATGTATATATGATTAATGTTTATTATACTCACACTGAAATGTAGTATACTTTCTTCTTTGTTCTTAAGTTTTAGTATTAGAAGAGATTCCCTCTAACAATATTAAGTATGAAACTAATAGTTAACTTGTTTTGCGCTATATAGTCCTATGACTTCAGCCAGCTTTACTTTTGCGTAGCCTTTGTCCATAAAAAAAAACCGCAAGACAACAGACTTCAGTTGTTTGATGTTGTTCGTGTCTCTCCTAGAAGATTTGCTGTCACTATCTGCCCGAGGGCTCGAACTCGAGATTTTTCAGAGAATACAATAAAACCATAAGACGAGCTATAGTTACATTATCAATTTCTTTGTTTCGACAACTTAGATTTCTAATGGATCCGAGCGCAAATAATCTTAAAAATATTCGACAGGCCCATTTAATTAAGATTTTTAAAATCTCACACGGTTTAATTACAATTAATATGGATATAAAATCCTGACTGTTTGGTTGTTTCAGACTTTAACAAGATTGTATCAATAGGACAATTTTAGTATTTTCGGTAATTAAACACAATTTTAAATAAATGCGAATGTAATCTCCCGTAAACTTTCTCGAATATTCTTTAATCTAGGTCTAAATCTAGGTCTAGGTCTAGGTCTAGGTCTAGGTCTAGGTCTAGGTCTAGGTCTAGGTCTAGGTCTAGGTCTAGGTCTAGGTCTAGGTCTAGGTCTAGGTCTAGGTCTAGGTCTAGGTCTAAGTCTAGGTCTAGGTCTAGGTCTAGGTCTAGGTCTAGGTCTAGGTCTAGGTCTAGGTCTAGGTCTAGGTCTAGGTCTAGGTCTAGGTCTAGGTCTAGGTCTAGGTCTAGGTCTAGGTCTAGGTCTAGGTCTAGGTCTAGGTCTAGGTCTAGGTCTAGGTCTAGGTCTAGGTCTAGGTCTAGGTCTAGGTCTAGGTCTAGGTCTAGGTCTAGGTCTAGGTCTAGGTCTAGGTCTAGGTCTAGGTCTAGGTCTAGGTCTAGGTCTAGGTCTAGGTCTAGGTCTAGGTCTAGGTCTAGGTCTAGGTCTAGGTCTAGGTCTAGGTCTAGGTCTAGGTCTAGGTCTAGGTCTAGGTCTAGGTCTAGGTCTAGGTCTAGGTCTAGGTCTAGGTCTAGGTCTAGGTCTAGGTCTAGGTCTAGGTCTAGGTCTAGGTCTAGGTCTAGGTCTAGGTCTAGGTCTAGGTCTAGGTCTAGGTCTAGGTGGATGTTGATGAAGATTTGTGTGAATATATGTTGATGTGTGTTGAGATGAAAACGCCGATAGAGTTAAGATCCGAATGCGGAAGTGAACGTGAACACGAGCACTTATAAGGATAGGGATATATATATATATATATATATATATATATATATATATATATATATATATATATATATATATATATATATATATATATAAATGTATTTATATATATATATATATATATATATATATATATATATATATATATATATATATATATATATATATATATATATATATATATATATATATATATATATATATATATATATATATATATATATATATATATATATATATATATGAATGTATTTATATATATATATATATATATATATATATATATATATATATATATATATATATATATATATATATATATATATATATATGTCATTTATTTATTTATTTATTTACAGTGTTTTTGTTAAGCATCACATACACAAAAAATGCAGAGGACTATTCTCCTTTTGATATTCATTAAATCTTTAATATCAGGTAACTAGTTCATATTATATTAATTTATTACGATTTTGTTTATTTTAAGTGATGTTAAGCTGTTTTTGTTTTAAACTTGCGTCTATGCAAACTAGACAAGATGTGCGATGTGTGGTACGATAACGTGTGTTACAAACGTCAAAATTTTATATGATGAGTCTTAGTGTTTTTTCAAATACAATTAATTATAATACTTCTTTTTTACATCAAGACTATGCTTTTAAATTTTACATACTTTTACTTTTTTTTCATACGATATTTTATTATTTAAAAAATACGCAGAAACTTGTGATTGGATATTTTTTGGTG